GAGGGGTTTGGGGGTTTGGGGGGGTTAGGAAAGCAAAAAAAAAAAAAAAATTATGACCGAACCGGAGGCCCGGCCCGGCCCGGCCCGGACCCAGACCGGACCCGGTGGCTACCCGGGCCGGTCCCGGGCCTTCCTTCCCAAAAAAAAGCCCGGCCGGGCCCGGCCTGGGACCGGAACCGGCCCGGCCCGGGTCCATGACTACATGTAATAGATGAATGTGATCATAACTCATAGTAAGCGCCCTTACCATGAGCATTGATGAGAATGGTTCAACCAATTAGGAGCCCTAACATCACATTTACACGTTGTTTAATTCGTTTCGTACTTATCTTTTTCTTCATATTTTAATTAGATTAATAGCGTGGGAATTATTATTATTCTCCCTGTCATGTTAAGACTTAAGACTGTCTCATTTTAACTTTTTGATTTGTGCCACTAAAATTGTCCCATGTCGAATTTGACAAAGTTTGTGTGGTTATACATCAATCTTACTTTATTCATATTTTATAAATTAAATACCAACCATATAAATTCACTTTTCTTTTCTTAATAATCGCACAATCTCCACATGTATCAAATTTAGGGGCACCGAAGTAGTATATATAGTTAGTAGTATTGTTGCAAATTTAGGGGCACTGAGGGAGTGTATGTAGTTAGTACTATTATTGAGTAAGGGGACTACAAGTTTTTACTTGGACTGTCTTCAGTCTTAGATCAGACTTAAACAGATCAGACCAGACTGGACTTAAATAGGGCTGGACTCGGGCCGGGCGGCCCGACCCGGAACCGGTCCGGCCCGCCCACTGTAGCAACCGGCCCGGTGGCCCGGTCCACCGGCGGTTCGGGTCGAACCGGCCCGGTGGATACCGGTTCCGGGCCCTCCATTTGGTGAACCGGCCCGGCCGGTTCGGGCCCGGTCCGGGCCGGATTTTTTTTTTTTTTTGAAATTTTTTTAAGTTTTGGGTTGAATTAGGTATTTTGGGCCATTTGAGGTGGTTTGGGGTGGTTTGGGGTTGAGGGGGAGGGGTAGGGGGTTAAATAAGAGAAGCCAAAAAATCAAAAAAAAAAAAAAAGAATAGGGCGGATGAACCGGCCCGGTCTGGATCGGAACCGGTCACCGCCGATTCAGGTCCGGGCCCTCATTTTGGAGAACCGAGGCCCGGCCGGTTCAAGGCCCGAACCGAGTCCAGCCCTAGACTTAAATAGATCAAATCAGAGACCAAATTTCCATAGTTATAAGATACAGAGAGAACATATATTAACCAAATCATTTTAGGCCAGATCAGACGTAAACACACCAAAACAAACCAGACGTAAATGTTTCTTGAAGATTAGTAGATTACCATCCTGATATAAGAAAATTGAGTCTTTCCTAGTTCCTCATGGGTTAGTGTTACTTGACATCTTGGATGACACTGTTGTAACACCCCGTCATCCCGATACAATTAAATAAGAAAATTGAGTCTTAAAATATGTGTACAATTAAATACATTTTGAACTCTTCAACAAACCAAATACAAGTAGTAGTACAAAGTACGTGCTTCTATTGAGCACTCACGTACCATAAAGTAGTACAAAGTACGTGCTTCTATTGAGCACTCACGTACCATATAGTGTACTGATTTTAGTCAATCAAAACTAAAACAAAATGATAATAACCATAAGGGTACGTTTGGTTCAAGAGATGTCAGATCGCCACGAAAATGTTAGATTATCGGGTATGTTAGATAGATGAGAATGTGATTAATGTGTAACTCATATGTGTTTGGTTACGATTAAGAGAATGCGACATTAAGTTGTTTGGTTGAATGATATCTTATACTCCCTCGCACCCTTAAAACTTTGTCAACTTTACTATTTTGGATGTCCCACTAACTTTGTCACTTTCTCTTTTAAGTAAAGAATTTGTGGTTCTAGTTAATTCTCTCTCCTCTGCACAAAACTCAACCATACAGTTTTTACTTTATTAATCTCCGTGCCGGTCAAACTTGGCAAAGTTTTAAGGGACGGAGGTAGTATGACATATTGAGTGAATTACTTAAATGTCCTTTAAATATTTGTCCCTTAACATATTAAACTTATTACATCCTACAAATTAAAGTAATTAAAATTATAGAAAAATAAAACATATTAATAATAATTAAAATCAAAACTAATTGGATTAATTTTAAGCAAAGTATGTTTAATTGCACAAATGACTAAGGGAGTGTTTGCAATTGCTTCAACTTTAAAGAAGTGATTTTTTAAAGTAATTTTGGGAAAAGTGATTAACAGTAAAAGTTGGTAGTGTTTGAAGAAAAAGTGATTCTGAAAAAGTAAAAGTTGGTAGTGTTTGGTAAAAGAAGTACTTTTTGTGTAATAGAAAAAGTGAAAAGCAGTTTAAAGCACCCTTCCACCTGCTTCCAGCTTTTAGCTTTTAAGTGATTAATTTAAGCAGAAGCTGTCATTTGAAAACACTCTTTTTAACTTTTTTTAAGCCAAAAGCTGAAAAGCACTTTTTTTAATCAAATGCAAACACTCCCTAAGATTAGTAAACATTAGTAAATAATTATAAGCAAAATATGTTTGCACAAAAATGAGATTTTCCAACTAGAAATGAATGCCTTAATTGAAGTATTCTTTTCAACAAGTATGTATACATGTTTACTTTCATCCCAACAATCTACCAACAACCCCAATAGGTCTGAGTATAAACCCTCACCCATATCTGACCAATCATTTTTATGAGTGTAAACAAATGAAATACAATGAACCTAAAAACAGTTTACGATCACTCCAAATCAAATGAACCTTTCATTATGTGCAAATAAGTTCACTTTATCCCCTAATTACATAGTGTTATTGTTGGCATCCAGATGCACAATTTGCTTAGAGGATTACCAAAGAAAAGACAGATTACACATATTGCAACCTTGTGCACATTACTTCCACCCAGAATGTATCGACGTAAGGCTGATATGGAAGGATAGGAAATATCATTTTTTTAGCATCAGGAGTGACGGGATCCTTTTTAGAAATTGTGGGAGACTTATTCTGTGTGGACAAAATCATATGGTGGATTACTTTTTTGTTCTTTTCATCAACTGACGAGCCTTCATCACAGTACAAGCATAGCCCAGAGTTCCAAAACTGTCCAAATCCATCCATCCCGATAAGCTATTTGCAATGCAGACAAGAAGGACGTTCTGCCATGTGGAAGAGTTACTGATACGAACATGAACAAGTGCACTAGACAAGCGGCATAACAATGCAGACCTAAAAGAGAAAGGCACAAAAGCAACTTTCAGGATTCACAATGAATTGATTCACCATGAGGAACTGAGGATGAACAAAAACAAAAAGAACAAATCGCTCCTTTGTCATAGCAAAGATAAATTAAAAGAAACAACCTTTGCAGAAGTGTGATATGATACAAATCAGTCAGCTTACCTTGTAAGGTTCCCCCACATCTTGCCATATCCAAGAACAATATTGATAAATGAAGAAGAGACAATCAGAGAACCTTGAACAACTCTCATTGAGTGGAGAAATCTCTACAAGAGCCAACATAGAAACATGCACAATAAAGAATGATCACAATTTAAACACTGAATTTGATATTTGCCTCATGTTCAGAGAGGAAGTTACCATCAGAATGATCATTTATGACTGACAGTAATGATATAACATAAGCAAAGGAGGGCCCCATTACTGTCGGAAGTCATGTCCCTAGAAGCGTTTGGAGAAGGGTATTCACTCTGGATGTAAATAGAAAAGTTTGAATAACTTGGGCCTTATCACCCTGCTTGCAGTGTTAGTAAAATTGGGTTTCTTAGTAGTTAGTACAACTTAGGATGATAGTAATAGAATATAAAAACTGACTTGTTGGGTTCAGGGACTTTGGAGGAAGGGAGAGGGGAGGATTGATTTTTATTAACATTTTTTTTCTATTTGTTAGTCTGAGAGCAGAAAAACTACATGATTAGTTAGATCATGTATTTCCCTTATATGTTTTTAATTTTCACTTATTTAAAACCATGTAAATGCAAGTATTTTAAAAAATAAATACTACCCCTTACCTTAGAAATCCCTGAACCACACAAGCTCAAACTCACCAGAATGTTCACAATCATCAGTGTGGTTCCAAGCATAATGTTGGAAAGCCAGCAGAAGGATTTTGAGCTGAAAAACGAAATGTCATAATTAACCAAGTAAGCCAAAATTCATAATCAACATATCCATAAGAATCATCACATATGAAATTCAATCACATATCAACCACCATAAAAAAGAGATTTGCAAACCTTAATGTTTAGACTTTTGAATGAAAATCAGGCTACAACTCTTATATGTAGTACGAGATGAGGCTATAGCCATACCAGGAATTTGTTTTCCTGCTAAGTCTACTGTCTTCATCAAATTTTTGACAGCAGGGCGAGTCTACTCCTCATGACAGAATGGAGGTTTGGTGCTCTTTTAACCTATGGCTGCTTTGAATCCAAAGTTGTATTTCTATTGATCAAAATGATATTAGCAAACACAGTAGGAGCTATCAGTGAAACAAAGCCAAATAGAAAGAAGGGAAACAACACAGAGAGATTAAGCATAGCTCCAACTTCAAAAACCCTACAAGGCCCAATATAAGCCTTAATATACCAACAACATTATATACAACATACTGCCACAACAAGTATATGGATTATATAGCAACATTAATACTGTCACAACAACATTATATCAACATTATATACCAACATTAATAGCCTCCATCATGGGCTAATAAGAGTTATTCATACATTCCACTTCAGTAGCAAAAAAAATAAGTGAATGTTGCAACTTACAAGTTACATATTAGTAGCAAAAAAGACAATAATACAATTGCACAGAAGGCATTTGTATTTACTCCCTAGATGATCAATATATACTAGCAAAACTAAATTTAGAGCTATCATCATCATTGTTTCTTTATATTACAATTCAAAATAAACCCATTCAGAAGGATTTTAGAAGTCAAACGTGGGTTGATATGGAGCCAAATCTCCCAATTGCTTTAGGACATAATCCTTCCTAAATGCCACAGGGAGAGCATAAAAGGTGTCAAGCTTGTGAGCATCTTTCAATATGTGCTCACCTGCATCCATCACTTCTTCTTTTGAGAAAGCGTCCAATTTAATGATCTCCTCAAAAATCATCAACTTTCTGTCACTCTCATCAGCTTCTTTACTAAAGAAGGAAGAAATACTTTTGAGGCACTCGGTGTTCTCCTGGTAAGAAGATGCAAACTTTCCTATTTCAGCAACCAAATTAGTTAAACCGTCATCCTGCACTTTCCTCTTTTTGCTAATCACAATTTCAGCTTTCTTGTTTGATGCCTTGCTTGTAGATTGGCTAGCAGATGCAGCATCTGTACTTGCCCCTATATTATTCATTTGATCTTCACCATATGCACTTCCAAAACCAGTTTCATCATCTCCCACTTCACCATCTTGAAAATCATTTTCTTCGCCAACTTCATCAAGCTCTTCAATCGCATCAGCTGCAGTCTCGGCTCCTACTCCAGTAGCTCGATCTTTTCCAAACACCTCAACTCGTTCATCATAGTGTGGAAAAGGTTTGTTCCTTAAACCAAGAGCACTTGGATGACTCTGCACATAGAAAGGACACAAAAAATATTACGATTGTATGGTAAATAACTATTACACAATCGACCTTATATTATAAGGTTTAAATTAAACAATTTTAGAAAAGGTATAAATACTCAACTCGAACCCAGTCATCAAAGACATCCTTGGTACATGTCACACAGTGGTCATCTTCATTCCAACCAAAGCCACTTGTATGATTTAGCATTTCAGAAATGGCATGATATTGTTTTTTCAACAGCTTTGTTCTAGACTCTATATGAGGATTGGCCCTAATATCAGTTCCAAGAAGTTTCAGTTTTATCATCCTTTCTAAATGACCCAAGTATCCAGTTTTGAAGCCATTTTCCCCTTTCCAGCAAGGGTCATGACAAAGATCAACAAGACAATCCACCAGAGCTTTGTTTTCAGTATTTGTCCATTGGTGCTTAGTAGCAATTGATTTCTTGACCCCAATTGCTTTCTGTTGCCTAGCAGTGGTCTTTTGTTTCAAACTTTTCGGATCCATTTCCTGTACTTATCATTGCCATTTTCATTAGCTTATTTTACCTAAGCTTGCACCTACTGGACTATTTGGAATCAAAGAGGTGAACATGTTGAACTCAAAAAAAGTATAAAGAATTAGATCGATTGACCTACAATCTGTTTTGAAACCAACAAGAAATTCACCCAATCACCCACAGGGAATTATTGTCTAGTAATATGGTTTCATAGAACAAGGAGGGAATTCACTAAGTATAAATATAGTAAATGTAATATTAAACATTTAACTTCAATAACTTCAATAACATTAAACAAACTTAATAAAGTTTGCAACAAGAAGAGATAAAACAGTAGACAAAGTTTCAGGATTCCAACAACAACTTCAACAAATCAGGAAACAAACATTAAACAAACTTCAACAAACATTAAACATAAATAGGGAAAAAACAGTTCTAAATCTTCTTGAATAAAGTGAGGAAAGTGGGATGATAGATATAGGAGTGGGTGCTGGCCATTTAAATAGGGAAAAAATAGGATGTGAAAGTCATTTGGAATTTTGGACCGTAACACTCTTGAAATAGAATCAAATGAGTGCATCCTTTCATCCTCCAAATCGCCGACCTTCGTTTGGAAGAAATCGATGGAAACCATCGAGTGAACCAGAGGCAAATGGTACCCAATCGTGTAACCATGGTACGGTTTGATAGAACAAGGAGGGAGTATAAGAAGTGAAGAATACATACAGAAACTTGAAAAATAGATAAAGAAAAAAATTACCTGGAAGACGGAGAAGAGAGCTGCGAAGAAGAGAGCTGCGCGTGGAAGAAGAGAGATGGGAATCATATGATATTATAGATTAAGAAGCACGGGTACTTTTGGAAGAAAAATAATTACACGCCCGGACTCTAACTTAACCTAAGGGTTGTATGGGTTTGAGATAACCGGCAATGCCATTCCTTTTTTCAAATTTTGGAATGTAACATTCCCAAACAAAAAATAAAACCACTGAACCAAACATAGATATCTCAGATCCCAGACATGGGATTCCGACCTGTATTAGATATAACCATGAACCAAACATACCCATCGAGCACTCACGTACCATATAGTCTACTGATTTTAGTCAATCAAAACTAAAACAAAATGATAATAACCATAAATGTTAACCAAACATGTGGCATTTATGGCAAGAACCATGCATGCATAAAAGACAAACACGCTTATCATATTTATATACCTACACTACGTACACTTATGGGGTGGAGCTAGGTGTACACAAAAGTTGTACACTTTTTGTCCCCGCAGTCCAAGTTGTCTGTCGACAAATAAGTTGTTTGTCGACAGACAACTTGTTTTAAGCAAATTTAAGAAATTTTAAGCACTGTACTTTGAATTTTCTTTGGCCTTTTTCAATAATAATGAAGACAATTGATCGAGTGGTCGAAACATATCTACTCATATCATTTAACTAGATTATTACGGAGTAGAAGAAAGCTATCATAAGAGTAAAAAATGTGCTAAATAAGAGTAAAAATGTTAAAAATTTCAAAGTAGGATTTTCATGTTTTTATTACCTAAATAGTAGGAATTTCGGTCAAATTTGGAAAAAACATGGCAGAAACTGCCATATTTAAATCATGATAATGCCAAACTTAGTAGACTATTTAGGAATAAAAACATACCTACTTTGGAATTTCATTTAGAAAATTTTCCTTACTTGTTATATCCATTTTTATGAATGGTTCTATTTTCACGTTTGATCAAGCATTATACGGGATTGAATTCTATCGCCTTTATGGGTATGTTTGGCAGATGGCTTATCAGTAGGCTTTTAGCTTGTTTGACCCATTTCAGCTGTTTGATTGGTCAAAGAAGCTAATAATGATGTTTGGTAAATGGCTTTTAAAATTAGCTTGTTGAGTTTGAAAAGTTGAAAAAATGGATTGTTGAAGAAGCTAAGGGGAGCAGCTTCTTCATTTGGCTGGTTCAATTTACACTTTATCAGCCATTTCGAAACAACCAATTTTACCAAACAGTTATCTATAATCAGCTAACATAACCAGCCGGTCAAAACAGCTAACACAACCAGCTGTTAGGAAACAGCTTACACAACTAGCTAACAACAACAACTAACAGCCATTTGCCAAACATACCCTATATTTTAATATACTGAAGTGTTTACTACTCATATTAGTACGTACGCATGGGATATATAATTATACGTACATGTGTAATGTGTTATATGAATAATCACTACAAAATATCTAGTGAATAGCAACTGATTCAGGAACGGCTAATGTTTAATTTCCCGGCGGTTTGAAGTTTACCAACGGAATGTCAAAGGATATTATCCGCCGAAATAGCGTGGTTGGAAAACCAAACAACCAACCTCAGCGATGTATTTTAAAAATTCCCTACGGATTAGGAACGGATATATCCGCCGGTGATAGCGACGGCATTTATCGTCGAAAAATAAGACGCGTGGACTTCAAATTAATATGCGTGGCTTTCAAATACCGGCGGTTCTTTCCGTAGGTGGTTTTTAAATAAATAAAAGAAGGTTTATTTACCGACAGCTATAGCCGTCGGCAATGGGCTGAAGAATCTAATCAAATTATACTGAAATGGTTGGTTTCAACGGTTTTATCCGTAGGGATTTTTGAACCTGCAATTTGCATTACATCCTGCCTGTTACATCCTGCCTCTGATTATCGAACCCAATTCAGACTTCAAACAGGATATTTACAAAAACCATATTCTCAACAATAGCATTCACAAACATCTTTTTCATAATACCATATTACCATTCACAACATTCTTTTCACAACATTATTCAATTCAAAAATATCACAACCATAATTAAAACTTAACAAAAACAAACAAATTTAAAACTGCATCATCCTTCGTAAACATTCCAAAATAAATAAATTGTCAAGACATTAAAAGAAATTGTTTATAATTAAAATCAGTCTTCAATTCAGTGATGCCCTTCACTATTGAACCCTCCAAAATCACCCTCATCATTGAACCCTCCACTAGCCACTAGCTAATAGATTATCGATAAAAGTGTTATGGTCTTCTTGGGAGTTGGTATTATTTGCGTTTTGAAGAGGGACAAATGGAACAACTCCAGGTTGAGTAGATGGTTGCCCCGACATGACATAATTTGGAAACTGAATAGGATAGTAAGGCGGAGGTTGGGAAGAAGCAGCTTGTGGAACACCGGAGAAGGGATTAGTGAAGGTGGGTTGGCTTTGTTGAGGCAAAGTACATTGTCCTTGTTGGACAAACATGTAAGGCATCTGTTGGGGGATTCCGGAAGAAGGCTGAACACCCCCATACAATGGGTATGGATGTATAGATGAAGGCCCCATATTATTCCCTTGCATTTTTATTTGTTCTCGCAATTGCTTCACTTCTGTTTGGCAACTCTCCACTATTGCAACGAGTTTATCAATGCGGTCTTGGTCGGATGACACACAATGTTTAGGCCTCAAAGATCCTGTGCTAAAAAAATGTGGGGCAAGAGAGCCCACTCCCAGGCCATAAGCCTTTCCTGGTTCGGTGGCACAATTTTCAAAAACAACGCATTCTTGTCAACTACACCATCCGGCCCTTGTTTCTGTCTGATTTCTGCTGCCCCAACCTTAAGTTTTTCCTAATTATAGTGTATACAATAATTGAACAAGTACACAGTTAAATATAACCCATCATTTAAGTTACCATGTTGGTAGAATAAGAATAAATGACAGTACACTGTTAAATATAATCCCTGCAAGTGTTTTTGTGGTGAAGGTGAGCAAGGATTACTTACAAATTCTTATACTACGTTCATCTTATGTTATTTTCAGTTAATACATCCTAACATTGTCATCATCACAGAGGTTATTTCTAGTTTCCAGTTTCAGAAATCTTGATTTCATGCGCCTTACAAGATTGATATGGTAATATGAATTTCATTTCGAGTTTCCCAACCTTACATGAGGGTAGAATTTTTTACTATAATCATTTGTTATGTCATTTCTAACTGCCACAATATGTTTTTACTTTGAGATGGCCAGATTATTTTTATTATCATAATCACACTAACTGCCACACTATGTTTTACTTTTGCCCATCACAGGTCTAACATACTTCTCATATAACTGACTGGTGATCATTAGACAAAGATACAAGATGTCAACCAAGGAGAAGTAGAAGAAACTGAGCCAAACATGCAGGTTTTGTTGAACACTATGCAATGCTTAAGAAAGCAAAAACTTACAGCTATAGCACGGACTCGTGGGCCACTAAGCTGCCCAGTTTTCTTCAAGGTGTAGCTATCGTTTAAAACGTCTCTTGCATCAGGCTCCCTCCCTAAAGCTATTTCCTAGAAAAAAAATTGATGGTCAATTAATAAATAAAATAATAATAAATCATACACATGATAATGATACTCCAAATTAAAGTTGGTATTAACTGACTAGCCGGGCAGCTCTAACGGGAGCGGAGATTGAACCTCCACAATATGGAGAACTCCTACAAGCCTCTGTATTGTCATTCTTTTTATTTGTTACACACTCTTTTTTAAAAGCCGCTGAGCCCCACTCAACCATCATTACTCCCCAATCCTCTTCAGATATCCACTGAGGACACTCAGCTCATTACTCTTTCGGGCAGTGTAAAAAAGATCTTTCAACCATTTAGAGATGCGACTATGGAACTTCTTCTTTATCGCAATTTCTTCACATTGGCGATAACTGTGTCGCATCTGCATTTCATATTAAATAATCACAATACTACACTTCATAAAATGTATCTATAACTTTTGCTTTTTAATAAGTTACCGCAAATTCATCATACCACCCTTTCTTAACATGCTTTGGAACTTTATTGTAACTGATCCATGCCCCCTTGAACGATCCTTCAACAATATGTTGTATATAGTGAAGCTTTTCTCGCCTACATAACAAATTCACATTTATATATAACACACTTCCATTTGAATAAATAGTTTCATTTTAACATATAATTCGTTATGAAGCAATATTTAACTAAGTTACTTACCCATACATATCATATAGTGTAAGAGGGATTTTGTCCACCTCCATTGCCTGTGAGAAGTAGCGTGACCCTTCAGACTCGGGTTGAGATTGAAAGTTCTCGGGTGTTTGAGAGGGGCTGCCATCAATGTCCTCTACTGTGTCATCCTCATCTTCACTTGAGGTATCCTCAATAGTAGGCTCATTTCTACGGAATTAAGTAAAGTTCCCTAATTCCTTGTCCCTTGGCATATTAGTTGACCGCTTTCCCAACATTATGTTTAACTGAATAAAATTAAGCTCAACATATTAAATCTCATGTATACCAGTGTTTTCAATAAAATGAATAAACATAAATATACATACCTATATAATTCAATATTGAATTCTATTCGATACAAATATTACTCATAGCATATTCACCCTAAATACCAGATACTGACACCCAAAAGATAAAGCATATACTTAAACATAAAGAATTCTGGCAAGTAATCAAGAATTACACCCAAAAGATAAAGCATATACTTAAACATAAACAAAATGAGTAACTGAGACCCTAAATAGCATATTGACAGTATCAAAATTAATAGCATAACACAAAATAAAGAAATTTAGCAAACTTTCTCATCCATAGGTGCAAAATTCATAGCATAGCACACAAGTTTCTAGACAAGCAAAAGTTGAATACATAGATGCACGAATACACCAGTGTGTTATGTACGTGATTGAGTTTCTTATTTCCTCCTTAGGTTTTGTCCCAATTAGGTCTCTCTTTACTTTCAGACCTCACGTCCTCATGAGTCATGACACTTTTGACTTTAATGCGAAATATGTTTCGATATTCAAATTTTATGCATTTTATTCTCTATATAATGAAGTTCGAATGACATAAAAGATGGTTTTACCGGGAATAGTTGAAGCAACTGGCGGACACCTCGAACCCTAGTTAGAGCAAAATCGAATAAACCAAAATACATTGTACCAGTATAACATAAACCAAATCCAAGAAAATTTCAAGTTATACTAACATAAGCTTTTTCATAAAAGGGTCTTACGCTAGGATTTAGGGGGGTGTATTCAATATGGATTGTGGTGGACTTTTTTTTAATCCATGGACTTCTAAAAAAGTCTATGGACTTTTAAAAAAGTCTATGAACTTTTAAATTCATAGACTTTGAATCCGCTGACTTTTAAATCTGTAGACTTTTAAATGAGTGACTTCTATGGATTTCAATAAATCCATAGACTTTTACTTGGACTTATTTCAGACCAGATCCATCTAGATCAGACTTTAACAAAGCAAATCAAACTTTAATAAATAAGAATCGCTACATAGAAAATATGACAAATAATGTCAAATATAATAGCTAATGTTCTCTATTCCGAATGAGGTCAAGCATAAGCATTAAAAAATTATAAGAAAAAAAAAATAAAGTCATCAATGCACAAAATGGGAACAAACGTCTTGTGCTACTGAACTATGGATCAAAATTATTCATTTTCTGCAGCTTCCCACATTTGAGTAGCAAGATTCATCCTCCACTCATTGGCCTTTTCCCTTTGTTGATCTTGTGTCTGAAAATTATCCCATTCAAGATTGTCCTCATCATCGCTAGGTGGGTCTTCTTCTGGGTCCGGAGGAAATTCGTCAGATCGACATTCACGTCGAAGAAAATTATGTACTCCTGCACATGCCAAAACTAATTCTTCTTGTGTTTTATAAGAGAAAGGAGGTGCTGTTTTGAAGATTGTGAAGCGTGACTTGAATATTCCAAATATCCGTTCAATCACATTCCTTAAAGAAGCATGACGAAGATTGAATAGTTCAACCGCATTAACAGGGTGATTTCCTTCACCACCAAAATCCTTTAGATGATACCGAGTACCTCGAAAAGGAGCTAAAAATTGACACCGATTTGCAAATCCACAATCCCCCAAATAATATTTTCCTAGACATTGAATCATTACACAATTAGTCTATTATACAATGCAATAAGTAATTGGTAACAGAGATTTGGATAAACATGTTAAAGTGTACCTGGTGGCACTTTAAGACCATTTGGTCTTGAAATTGCATCATTTAACACTTTTGAATCATGGGCAGAACCCTCCCAACCACTAAGCACATATATGAATTGCAAATCAAAGTTGCAAGCAGCTAGTACATTTTGAGATATAGTCCCGTGACGATTTCGATAGCTGTTCACTTCTCGTCCAGGTACGATTGCTGGAATATGAGTGCCATCTATTGCTCCGATGCAATCCTAGCATTAAGAAAAGAAGAAATACCAAAAAAATATTTAACTGATCATCATTAATCATGTAAAATTGGTTAAGTGCATTAGGAAACGAAAAAATACCAAAAAATATTAATTAATCATCCTTGATAATCAATAAAGTTTTGCATTACTAACCTTGAAATGAGGATAAAACCTTGTACTCTCTCTTATGACATGTGGTACAGATTCCGGTTTGGCCATAAAGTCGGGAGCTATTGTATTCAACGCTTTCAATACTTTGTTGAAGCTTCTGCTAATGCTGAAGTGTGACCGCTTAAATATCATTCTTGGTTGACAATAGCGGTTATTTTGGCCGATAATAAGTAGAAATGTTGCCACCATTTCTTCAACACAAATATATCTTGTATCTCTTAAAGGCGTTTTGTTTCTTAGGATACAACATAATTTTTGAAAAATGTTAGGATACATTCTGTATACATTTCTAAATGTTTTAGGATCTTCGGCCATTATTTCATCCATATATTTAATCTCATTAACCGTCACAGGTCGACGAGTCAATGGGCGTGGAACAGGTTCATCATTAATTCTTGAAGCGAGATTGTATATCAAGTAAGTTACTGCTTCTATTGCCATTAGCAATATCTTAAGAGTCCCATAAAACTCAACCTCATCTTCATCTGCTCCATACACATCTGTTTCACACATTGCTAAAAGAAGAAAAAAGGCATAAACTTTAAAAAGTGAACTATGATATATTTTATAATAAAAGCATTCTAACGGATAATACATAAAATAGTTCAAATAATCCATATCACTTTGCAATCCAAATAAATTAAATCACTCCAACAAAAGATAAAGTAAATATGCAACCATGGCTTATTTATTATTAGATATCTCTAGAGGACGAATCTAATGAAGTTGTTTAACGATTGACGATCCAGTGATAGCGTTGTTCGGGAGTCATTCCACCTAATTCATCATCTACTCCTAACACTGTAGCATCTGTATTTTCACCAAGACCAATTGCACCCATCCCAGTTGCAGTTCCATTTCCCACTGCGATTCTCAGATCCTCATAGTCCGGACAAGTTTCTGATCGAAGGTGTGCATGTTCTTTATGTGACTGATATATAAAAAATATAAAGTTTGTTATTATGATGTTAAAAAATAGATACACAAATGAATAAAAAAATGCCCACCTTCAGGTAGTCAGCCCATACTTCTTCGGAAGCAGTGAATTTCTTTGTGGATGCATCCCATCCGAATCCAGAGTTGTGCCGCATAAGTTGAGAGTAATTGGAGTATTGTTTTTTAAACCATTTGAGTCTACTTTGGTAATGATTAAAACTAATTTCATAACCAAGCTTTTCCTTAAGTTTAGGAAGGAGTCTGGTCTCTACCATTTGTTTACTTATCACACCATTTATATCACGAAGGCCAAGTTTGGCACTTTCAACCATTAGCTGAAGCAAGACATTACTCTCTTCTATGGTCCAAGTTTTATAATCCTTTTTTTTGCATTACCTTGTGAATCACCCATCTACAAGACATGTAAAACCAATCACACAAACAGTAAAGACAAACTCACTCATACCGTTTGACTTTAGTAATTAGTGGTGTTAGTTAACACACCTTTAAATAAAAATCAATCAGTCCTCTTTATATATATAAAATCTCACACGCCATGATTTTAAAGTAAAAACATAAAACAAAAAATAGATATTGAAATCGGATGGACTATAATAGGCAGGAATAGAAAATACATTTTTATATACTCTACGGAATGTCCTTAGCCGAGTTGTGATTGCTTAGGTTGTCCACCAAATAGAGCAGCAACAGTAGTAGTACTCTGTTCATAATTCTTTCTCAAAACAATAATAGGAGTGATCGAATTACTACTGGATCGTACGTATACTTTGTAAATATAAAGGGGTACAAAAAGCAAATAGAAACCCAAATAACAACAAAATTATAATAGTAATAATAATAATAAAAAAGGTAAACAAAAAAGCTCAACTGCCATTCCCTACTTATGAACAGAGTACTACGCATTTTAGGCTTGTCTGTCGGCTTCTTGCTTTTATTTTTTTTAGTTGAAAAAAACATACACAAGAGACCATATCCGAATGGTGGAGGTTGATTTACAGTGCACTATAATGAAGTTGATGAGCCACTTTTGCAATCTGTTAGTCTTTTGAAAAAAGATAGTGGAGAGGCAAACATTAAGTTCGATCTTGTTATATAAATATACATATGTATACATATACATATACATATAAATATATAGCACACATAGGAATAATGATATCATTAATTTCCAGAGGGCAGCAAAACATAGAAATAGGCAGGAATATAAATAGAAGAATCGCAGAATATGTATTAGGAGGGAAGATATACATACGCAGCAAAACATAGAAATAGGAGGGAAGATATCCAAAAACGTATGAAGAAGATATCCAAAACATACCTGGGACAGAAGAGGCGAGCTGGGCGAGACGTACGAGAGCAGAGGCGTGAAAACCCTATGGGGGAGAAAGTCTGCGTGAAATATTTGGGTGGAGCACGAGACAATTCAGTCGAATGGGTATTTATACGAGTCGTTCTAAAGTCCTTGAGAATCCCCTATTTTTAAAATCCACAAGATTTGTTAATTTTTTGAATACACCCATACTTTTATTGACTTTTAAAAGTCCTAATTGAATACACCTAAACTTTGATAGACTTTTAAAAGTCTATATTCAATACACCTAGATTTTTAAAGTCCATGGACTTCTAATATTTTGCCACTAAATCCCAATACAATACACCCCCCTTAGAGTACAATCTTTTGGATATCCACGCTAATATGTTTTGGAGGAAGATTATTCGAACTGTACTTGGATAATTTTATTTCCCCACAAATTGAGTACGAGTTGGTTTTACTGACTACGGCTTCTACGTTGAGTTATGATTGTTTCAGTTTCGGCCGGACGATTCATTCTCCCACACTATGCGAGCATATGACCCAAGGCCAGGGTCCCATGAATATGATGATCTTTGTTATATGACGGGTAAAGTAACTAGACTCCGTTCGAAATTACTTTGTCTGTATCCTTAGCTGGAATCTAGTCCTAAGAGTAAAGGTTGAAATCAAAATACTAAAGAATGAAGTATTCAGAAAGCTGAAGTAATTGCTAATGAATTTGAACAAGAATTGTGTGATTATTCCATCGGAAGAGCTTTGTGGAAAGATTTTATTTCAATATTATTTTCTCTTTAGTAGCACTTGTTTTTTTTCTAGTCTGAGTAGATTTGGTTTGAATGTTTGGATTTTTGGAGTTCTTTTGATAGACAAGGTTTCAATTTCGATCGTTTTAGGCCTAAATTTGCCCGTTTCAGGTTTAGCGAGTCATGTTTCTTTGTATGAGGTGGATGACTCTAAGTTTACTCCTAGGGTTTACGATTGGATCTCTAAATTCTGCCTGAAGGTTGTATTGTATCTGTTCTCGAATTTAATATAACCGGCGCTCTTTTATCATAAAAAAAAGATAGGTTTCACCAATCAATTTGGGATGAATGAATTACTAAATAAGTAAACCTATTTTGAAATAACCTCCATTTGATTATTTGGTACGAAGTATTGATGTTTTATGTTTTATATAATTAAATTTCTAATGGGAAGATGGCTTCATTGATGGCAGGAGAGCAGCGGTGCACAAGAGGGCTAATAAGGAAGGATAGATGCTCTGTCGGAGATGGCTGGGCAGTGAGCATGGCGGATATGATGGGAGGAAGGGCAAGAGGAATCCACTCTAATTGATTGATGCTTCGATCCACTCCGCGCCAACAATTATAGCAGTGATCCGACCTCCTCCTGAACCACCGCCAGGGGTTGAACGACGTGCTAGGATTCAAGAATGTTATTTTGCTTCTTTAGATATCTTCATGTTTCATTTTTATTTGGATTTTTACTCTGTTTTGGTTGTGTCGTGTTTTTCCGGCAAGAAAACTCTAGAACCTAGGGCAGATGATGAGAAGTCTGGTCTGCAAGTCATTGGCTCACTTAAGCCCAAAGCGAGATCAACGAATCTAATTGCTTCTATGAAGGTGATTGATTCTAAGTCTAGTTCTAAGGCGAACGACAGACAGAAGGCTTGTTGTCGATCATTTTGTAACCTGCTTATATTTTGTCATAAGTTAAGCCACCTTCTTCCAAAATGGGAAAATGGCCTGGCTTCATATTATCTTTGTTTGTTACATACTTCCACGTAGGGTTGTATACGAACCGAATCGAGTCGAATAGTAGGATTTTCTATTTGTATTAGTTTGATTTTTTCGAATCAAATTCAAATTCAAATATGAAACAAATATTAATTTCGATTTGGATTTGTTTAACAATACGAATACTTAACGAATCTTATACGAATTTCGAATATATTTGAGCAGAGGTTAAATATTAGTCAAACATCACTTTAATTTTTTTTTTATATTTTTATGTTGTAAATGTATGCTATGACTTAATATGTGTTTTTAGAATTTAAATTCAATGGATCAATGCCTTTTTAGATTGTGCACGATATACTAAAGTGTACCATTTTTATGATTAACAAATATAAATTTATTTCAAACTTTTTGAAATAAACACTAACACACATATAAGAAATTATACTTATAATGTGTGAAATAAGGTGATAATTGTATATATCAAAGTCAGACGACTCTAATTTTATTCTTTGAATCGAATACATAATTATTTGTATTGTATTTGAATGACATTTGAACCAAAAATCTGATCTGTATTCGTATAGTATTTATACTCTGATTTAGGACTTAGAATCTGTATACATAAATGTATATACTACGTATGAACTACACTTTAGGGTATTGCTATCTTTTAAAAGTTATTATAGTGTTATTATTAATATTATTATTAATATTATCACTATTATTAATCGAATATATTTGATTAATCTTCGAATCAAATGCACCGATATTCTTATTTGTATTTGATAACAACTCGAATCAAATTTAATATTCATATTTGTATTCGAATTTTCCGAATTCGAATCGCGAATCGAGCACAAATTATTTGATTCGTTTATAACCCTACTTCCACGTACATACTATACTACTTTTTAAAAAAATACATACTCCGTACTACACTGTTATTACATTTACGTTAGTACTGATCGCCGAATGTTCTTTGTAATTAGTACAGTGATAAAGATAGGAAAAATAAAATGTAATTAGTACAGTTTCATCCTTTAGGTTTGCAAAGCTTGACATGGGCAGGGTAGATCACCGATGTAAATGGCAGCTTCAGTTTGGTTCTAGTTGAGAGTTTAGTCAGCCCCCTTTTGACGTACATTACTGCGTTATATTTATGTTTACATCATATATGGAAATGGAAATGGAACTTGTTAAGATATGTGTTACTCTAACAGTCTAACTAATTAATGTAAATGTTTAAGATATGGTATGCTTTTGCAAATGATTAATTGTTTAAAAAGGTGGGAGCTCTCAATTCTACGAAGGAGTAGGAGGCTTAGCTTGCTTGAGGCTTAGCTTGCTTGCTTGAAGAAACGTCAGATTGTTATAGGAATTGTTAGATTACTAGCTAGGAATGTCAGATTGTATTCAATTTATTCTCATTTGTGTTCGGTTAAAATTAAGAGAATATGACATTAAATTGTTTTGTCGAATAATATCTTATACTTCCTCTGTCCCAAAAAGATTGGTAAAATTGAATTTTATTGGTCAATGATGATCGGGTTTGATCAATGATATTTTTTAATACAAAATTATTTAAAATATGAAAAATATATGGGCATATTCTTTATTAAAAACCTTTCACAAAAGTATAAAATTTATAAATCACACTCAAATATAAAACCTAAAATCATTTTCTAAACTCTAACACCATTGACCATGAAAAGTCAAATTGGCCGATCTTTTTGGGAAGGGAGTATTATTCAACCAATAAATTATATCAATGCCTTTTAACATTTTTCTTAACGCAATAAATTTGGTGAATTACGTCAATTCAATGTCTTTCAAACAATTTGGCTTAACTCAATAAACTTATCAAAATCTACATTTAAGCATATGAATTTTGTATATTTGGTGAATTACTTCAGTGCCTTTTAAACATTTTCTGTTAAAACAATTAATTTATTACAATCTACATTTAAAGTAAATTAAATTAAAGAAAAATGAAATATCTGTGTAATTTTTGGGGTTTTCATACAAAGACTATTTGTAGGGAAAAATCAAATTTTGTATGTAGAAAGTTTTGTAGACAAAAACAATTTGTGGCTAAGTTTGTAGGGAAATCATCGAAGCAAAAGATTTAACCCGACGAAATTCATAACTTTGTCTACAAAAGTTTATGCATACGAAACTTTTTTAGACAAATAAAATTTGTCTTCCAAGTGCTTTTACCTCAACATTGTTTGTAGGCTCAAGATATTTTTTCCAACAATAATTTATTGTATGGAAAAACTTATGTAGATAAACTATATTTTTCCCTACAAATATGATTTTGTAGAAAGAGTTATTGAATAGAAGAATGTCCTTGATTGAGTATATCAGTCCTTTTCGCTACAAATAAATTCTTTTATTGTCAGTGATTGGAAGGAAAATGATATCACACGAGTGCTATTTGTAGACCTAAGGTTTGTTTCATCACAACGTTTCCACAACTAAAAAACTGGAACAACATACTCAACTTTGTAAGATACATTTCAAGCGAAGGATGTGCATTATAAAGTTTAACAACTCCATATCAAACTAAAAGTTTATCATTGAGTGCTAATACCATTCCAAAAAAAAAAAAAAAGTAAAATGTCAAATAAATGAATAACAATTGTGCTGGTTGATCTAGATGCCCTTTTAAAATACGGAGTAACTTAATAATATCATATGAGGTTCTAACTTCTAACTAATCATCCAATAGCGTGTGAGCCTCATCTTCTCCACCATCTTCAAGCGAAAAAGGGGTGAATGGTGGTATAACGACACCTACTTGCATTAAATATTGATGCCAAGATTGTAAAGTAGAGTTGAACTTTTGCCCAACATTTTCAAAGTGTTGTGCATTCTCTGTCCAGTATCTATTCGAGCTGCATCAGTAGACTTTCGCACCGCTCGTTCCACCTCCAACTCTTTTTCCAAATTCTGCACTATTTTGGTTGTTGCCCCTGAGTCTCGAAGACAGCCATCTCCAAGATCACAAATCTGGCGACCTGGTTTGGTACCTAAAACAGACGTCATAATATCAAGTCCAATATTAGGATCATTAATAGGTATTTCCTTCAAAGGAATGTCTTCGAGAAGTTGATACTCTTTTGCCTTTTTCACAATATACTCATTAGTTTTGACAACCATTTTCTCCCGTAAAAAATACGCAACACAAATAAAGTTATTAGTAACCAGAGTATGAAGAAATAATAAATGTACATTAAAGCTAGTCTCTTACATGTTCTTTTGTTGCCTCATTTGTCCAACACTTGTCTTTCCCAGCATAAGTTACCTCAAATGTAGCAAGTAACGGACGGAAACTTTGAACCATCCCATTATTGATATTTTTGACTAGTCATACAATTTGTCAAAGTCCACGTGTTGGTTTAAAATGGTAGCAATAACTTGAATAATAGTAGAAATAGTTAAACCCAAAGTACTTGTTCCACAATATTTTTTATCAAATAGGTAGATTAAGAAAACAGCTGCACATCAAGTAAAAAATTATCAATAGTACTGGGCCTTAATTACCCATGATACATATTTCTATAATAAAATTTGTATTATCCATCAACGCCATACATTAAAAAAATACATGCACTTTCATAACAAATTAACTTAGTATGTGATTAACTCAAAAATTTACCAAAAAGTAAAACAAGTCATATGAGTATATGTAACATTGTGAATTTCATACCCTCTCCTTCCTTTTCACGGTTATGATGAAGCAGAACATCATTCTGAGGAACAGGAGGTGGACGTTGACACTTATGCCTAGAAGTCACTTCATGCCTAATTTGAGAAAGAACAATGTTGGTTGGATTAGAATACAACCTCTAATATACGCATATGAGCATTTATGGTCAACTGGGATCTCGCTTTATTAGAAGACAGGAATGAGCCTTCAGTTAGCTTAGGAGGAACTTTAGTTTTCAAGGATGATATGTTATCTGACTTAGACACTCCTGGGATGCTTAGAGTAGGTGCACAATTTATTTGATGTACCTTAGTTGCTGGAAATGCTTGAAATGCTTTAGGAGGTTGATGTTGACGAGGGGTCGGAGCTTGTCATGCACCTGTGGTTGTTCATATAACATCTTAATGGCAGAGGGTCAAATTCAAGGCATTGCCCCTTATCAAAATTTTACATCTGAGGCGATTCGGGAGTAGACGTTGTAGTCTTCTTGGGCAGCTTAGCCCTTGGTGTGATCCTTGAGCTGCTTTTGCATTTCTTTTGTGAAATCCCGCTCATCTGTCAATTCAAATAAGGAAATAATAATACCTTAACTACTAAATTATAATCGTGGTCATTAATTTATTTTGTAATTGTATGTTCAAACACATTTTTTAAGCACAAAACAATATTACTGCAAAAAAGAACAAAATTATCTAAGAAAATTGCCCCTTCCGTTACTGTCTGTGAGGCATGCATATAGTTCATGTCTTCTGATAAGAACCAACTAGTGCTAATATTTCCAAACCAAAAAATAACGGGGGACTGAGCCAAGGCAATGAAGAGGAGGAGATAATGATGCCTACTAGAATCATAAGTAAAGAGCACTCACTGCATTGTCTTTACCAGAAATACCCACATGCAGAGACCTGCCCATGGCATAAAAAAGTAGAATGAGTGGCTTGAGAAGATCTTTCCCAAGACAGCAATAGACAACCCAGCAAAGGAATATCCTGCATGTGTGACAATATCCAGCAAAGGTGCCTCTTCACTCCCAAGGGAAAAAAGTATCATCTTCAAAAATGTAACTTGTAAAACCCACTCCACCAAACCTTTCATGAATAGCCAGTTTATTGCTTCTCGGCTAAACCTTCCCTACCTCCCTGGAGACCCAATGATAAACCAGTAAGAACAACATAGGTGCCAAATGCCATAAAGGATATGTACAAATCTGGAGCATTTATGTCATAAATTGGGAGCTTATAGGAAAGCCTACCACTTACTGGCTCTGGGATTCTTGTCCAATGTCCCCTGTGCAAGAATGGGAAAAGTACATCTTTCAATTTGTTCCTCACATATTGGTCATTGATACTTTTTATCCTGGGAATTTCAATAAGTAAAATTAAAAACATTTAAATTATTAATAGAACAAATTAAAAATACGAATATATCAAATTATTTCAACGTAAAAAACCACTTCTAGCATCAACTTAAGTAATTCCTTTCCTCTCTAACACTAGTTCAAGATCAAATTTTTTTAATAAAAAATTATTACAAAAAAGGATGTGTAAGCAGGGGTGGTGGCAGACCATACCCTTCTAGATGGCATGCCCTCTAAACAGAAAGAAATGCTTTAAGGCCAAATGTTCAAAAGCTATAAGAGTAAAGATCTGGGCGGTCATTGAACGCAGCAGTCCAAGTCTCCAAACAAATCTTAAACTGCGAAATGACAAATATGAGAACTCATATTTATTAATAAAGGCATAAACTTTGTGTGATGAGCTTAATCAAACCAAGTTTTCCACCCATGTTGCAATCAAAATCAAAACTTTCCTCTTCCCTAGTTTAAAACATGGTAAAGCTTACAAGGTGAACATGTTTATACACCTCAAAAGTATAATTATATTGAATAAACTTTTTACTCGGGACTTTTATCAAACACGTTGGGGACAAAGTTCTTTGATAAAGATGGGCAATCAAAAAATAAGAATACATAATCAAAGAGTATTAAAAGAAGAATCGAATCTCAATAAGGGCAAATATTCTTGTAAATTATTCAAATACGAAAGCAATTGAAAGATACACAATCAAAGTGATTAATATCAAACCTAAACTGAGTTGTAAGCTTAATTTTAAACATTAAAAGAAGCATCAATCGTTGGTTAAGGATTGTGAAAAATATATGGATAAACTGTACCTAAAATTGGAGGTTGAGATTCAAAACCTGACTTCTTAGGATGAAGGAGAACGTTTGAAGCGCAACATACGAAATCGAAAGAGATATGAGAGTTGTTCGTGCGTTTTAGCTAGGGCAGGAATCCAGAGGCGGTTAATTCACTTTGCGCTCTAGAAGTTTGAGTTTGGGCGGAAATTGAAAATTTTGGCCGCGCTGGAGTTTTTGACATCGCCGAGCTGAAAATTTGGAGGCGGAATTTTCCCTCGCTTAGCGTTCTTTCCCTGCCGAGCTGGAGTCTTGAAATTCTCTCAAGTAAAATTTAAATAATTTGGTCTCTTCGTGGTCTGTAGTAGCTTCCCACCCCTCGCTTGTAGCTTGGAAGATTATTCTCTAATAATAATAATGTGTATGGATTATTGAGAGTGAATGTAATCCAAATAAGCCACCAACTGTTTTAGATCCTTTTTTTGTGACATTGAAATTGGCTGAATTGGTTGATTCTGCTTAATATTATGAAGTTCTGACTGAAATGACTGTATTGGCTGATTATGTTGATTTATGAAAAAATTATATATAAAATGTTTGTTATTAATAAATAAAATAAAATATTTATATGAATAATAGCTAAAATGAACATTTACACTAACTTCAGCTAATATGGACAAAAAAGTAATTACAACCTTACTTTTTGTTATTATTTTACAATTCAGCGCGCGAAATCAAAAGTTGTGTGAATGGTAAAAAAGCTGGCTGGTAAACCTGATAAGCCGAAAAAAGAGTCATCAAATGAGCTCTTAATTTGAGATTTGAAAGACTATTTGTTGTTGGTTGTATGTACTTAAAAACATTACCATTTCTCTTATTTCAATTCTTCACTTTTCATTTATGAAAGTGAGTATTGCTTATATGAAAGCATACCCTTCATATGAAAATGAATGTAATTTTCATATGAAAATGTAATTTGTTTTGCTCATATGAAAATGCAATTTTAAAGAAAAAACATGTTTACCGGCATGGTTTCGCCGATCCTGGGGTAGCAAAAATGAGAGATAGAGAACTGAAAAGTTGTTAAGTATAGATTGAGTAAGAAAATTGGCAGAAAGCACGATCCCTTTTCACACGTTGAAAAGTGATATTTATAGTGTGAAATGAAATGCTCGGCCAACAAGAAAAATAACTAATCAAGTGATATAGTGACACGTGTAAAGTCGAATTGATGAGAGAGTAATCATAGCTAACAGATTGGTACTATGTCTATTGTGTACTGGAACGCACCGGGAAGCCATGTGTGCAAGTCTGGAATCTTCTATGAAAACCGCCTAGGTGATGTAAGCCCTAGACAGTTGTAGCTCAAGTGATGTAAACTCATGTGTATGTAGAATTCATGTGCTGAAATGTCCAAGTCCACAATCTCATACTAGGTCCCAAGCTCTTCAGAAGAGGTCGAGCTTGGCGTAGTGCGTCTAGTTGCAAGGTGTGTATCCTAATTCTGTAACGTGAAGCAATGATGCTCTTGTTGGTCCTTTTAATTTCGTAAGGTGCCAGTTGACCTCAAACTCCGTCGTAACGCTGGAATTGACGCCAACCTTGGTGAAGGTCCACATTGGCCTCAGATGCAGCTTTGTACTCATCTCGATGATCCAAGAAGCAGATTCATATTCGTCCTTGGTGAGCTCGGCCTCAGTAGGAAATGACTTGTTAGTGGATTCTAGAGATCCTTTACTCATAAATGTCGATGCCCTGGGGGTATATGGAAATATACTCCATCAACCAGACTGATATTTTCATATTCATACGAAAGTTTGAAGTTAAATTCAAGCCAAGACAAACTATATGTACGTACTGTTATATATTTGGGAAAATCAACCTTCTTCCGCGCCTTAATTTTGTATGGAAATCAATTGGGTAGGGAAGAGGCTAACTCCACAAAACATTTATTTTGTTTGCGAAAGGAGCTTTTGTTGACATAATTATTTTGTATGTAGGGAAGAGGCTAACTCCACAAAACATTTATTTTGTTTGTGAAAGGAGCTTTTGTTGACATAATTATTTTGTATGGAAAACAAATATTTGTAGTTAAAAAAAATTCTCCACAAATGATTTATTTTGTCGTGACAAATTGCATTAGACTACAAATTTAATTTGTATGCAAAACACGTTTGTAGGGAAAAGGCTAGCCCCACAAAATAATTTCTCGTCTAGGAAAATAATTTATGCCGACATACGTAATTTGTATGGAAAAAATATATTTGTAGTCAAAGTACTATCCCCACAAATGATTTATTTTGTCCTGAAAAGACACCTTAGACTACAAAATTAATTTTGTATGCCCAAATTTTGTAGGCAAAACATGATTTTCTAGTAGTGATCTGATCTGATTTAGTCTGGTCTGATTGAAAACAGTCCAAAAGAAAACATTATTAGACTATATGGCCTCAAGAGTTCTTGAAATCCAAAAGATGGAGCTCAATAGTGAACTATATTTGTAAATTCGGCCGTTTCTTGGAAAAACATGTTCCGAATAACACACTATAATTCATGGGAGAAGATTCTTTGTGGAGTTTGTATAATTCAGTAAATCTTATTCAATAAAGATGATAATAATCAATGCTCCGCGTATCATTTTATAATTGGACCACATCACTTTATCAATTTTAATTTAGATTTAAATAATTCAACTGCTACCTTTTCATTGATCCATGTGGACAAAGGTATGGTACCTTTTGGGTACCATAGAAACTACCTTTATAATTTCATGATATCGCGATAACGGACAAACAAAAATACGAATTTGAGTATACATAGAGAGAATTAATCGAGAAAAGATTTAGTTTTAAAATTTTTTAATTTGCCGTCTCTATAGATCGTTTTTAAAAAACAAATGAATGACTGAACAGGGCAGAGCCAAGGGTGGGTCAGGGTGGTTAGCCACCCCTTGAAAATAAAAAAAACTTAGGGCTCGGAAATACTTTCAATTTGATATATTACGGATCTCGTAACCCATTACGAGTAAAAAGTGATGACTTCTGAAAAAATCAGCACCATCTTAACTTGAAATAAGTACAATTTGATGTGTGATATTGATTATATTCTTAAATTTAAAAATAAAAAACTTATTCATTCTTTTTTTTACTCCAGGGGTCTGGGGGAGGGGGCTGGGGGGAGCCTGGAATAATCCGGACTGAAACTCACTCAATTGAATTTCAAACTCTTATGTGCCTAGCGGGTTTTGAACTCAAGACCTCCCACCGTACGTGCACGGTAATCTCACAACCAACTGAGCTGAAATACTTGGTTACTTTATTCGTTCATTAGTTGAGTGAACTTTATGATACATTACACATATATCAATACATTAACTGAAAAAGTCTCATTAAACTACCATTTATCTTAGTTACATCTGAAACATTTCATTCAAATATTATTTAATAATGATTAACCATTTTGTATTGTATATAATTAAATTTCGACCCCTCACACGTTTTTTGGCTCAGCCATTGTTTGAGAATGCTTTAATTTTCATAGTTCATATTTTCATTGAATCTCGTTCGATCTTGTGATCTTAGTGTTATACAAATTATACTAATACGGAGTATGATATTACCAATTTGTGAGTGTCTTTTTGTGTATGGGCCTCAAGAATTAACGAGAGCCAATAAGAATTTCAAAGTAAAACATTTAATTGCATGCAATTAGCTAGCAGGATTGAAGGGTGGAAGCAGATAAGCTCTTTATCCACACACTATCGGCCGTGATTGCTTCATCGTCTTCATTTCGATGCCATGTCCACTTAGCATGGCTTGCATTTACCACCTCAAGCATTCCATGGCCAAAACTAGCTTCCCTAAACAATGATATTTTTGGTTGCTCCATATACCTGTAATATGCATATATATACATATGCGTCATGTATTTTTCATATGAATGATATAAAATTATAAATACATGAATACATCATTTGGTTTATTTATAATTTATCACTCTATAATAAAGTTTAGTATACCATGAGCTAAAAGTGAAAATCAAATAAGTAATCAAGTAAGGGTCATGCTTTTGTATAACTATATAAGTAATTAGTCTTGTATGTAAATTATTTTTTGAGCTTTTCCAAATATTTATAATGGCAATAATGTAACTTGATGAAGTTTATTTCCCACTACAAGAGCTAATTAATTTACAAGAGTAGAAAATTTAGGCAACATAAGAGAGTTTTATTATTCACGAGACGGAACCAGTGGCGGAGCCACTATGTATCAAAAGTGTTCTCTTGAACACTTAGATTTTTGAAAAGTCTTTGAGTATATGTGTAAATTCAGGGTAATTAATTATTGTTAGTTTAAAGTTTTAATGGCAGAAAAAAGTTGAACACCCAAAACCCAGGTCAATCCGCCACATGATAGGTGCATGAAGTATTTATACATGAAGTATTTAATGGTCTAATCATGGTAGGAGTCTTGTAGCATCTCTCATTATTCTGTAATTAGTACTCCTTTATCTAACTTGCGGTTACAATTTGTTGGCCATTTTTTAAAAGTAATTTAAAAATCAGATCTACAACCATAAATAAATAAATACTACGTAAAAGTTCCTTTTTGACTCCAATATATCATGTATCAATTTACGTTGGTGACCTCAAAATCTTTTAACACTACAGCTTGGATGTTATTCTATAAGACCCAAAAATAGCCAATATGGGCTGGAAATTGGATATCTATCTCTTCTCCTGGGCTGAAAATTATCACCACAAATGAAATAGTGAAATAGGAAACTTACTTGGTTGCAAGACCTTCACGATTTCCGCCATCTCCAATTGTGATATATATTGGCCCACAATTGTCGGCCTTGTCTTTGTAAACTCGAGTCTAATTGATACGCCCATGATGAATAAATATAAAGAAAAAATATATAATTAGAAGACAAATAAATCAGAAACAAAAAACTCAAGTATCACTAAATACTCCGTATATTGGATTATATTTTTTAAATGATCATCTATTATTCGTAAAAAAATGATTCTCTATTATATTATCCTAAATAAATTACTTCCACCAAATGCTTCCATCGGTCTAAGTTAGAATTGGTTAGCGTAATAACCCTAAAAATCCTAAATATCGAACCCAAAAAACATAAACACATTTTAACTGAAGTTGTGACATTTTCTAAATTAAGGATTATATGAGTCAAAGTTAAGGAATTAAACATAAATAATATTAATAAATTGTTCTAAATAAAAGTAAAACAATGTTAAATCTCAACATCGGAGTGTATTTTTTTTAAAAATAAAAATACACTACCATATTAATATTTCGTGAGTATATTACTAAGCTACATATGTGGTAGGATTTTTAGGCTTGAATT